GTAAAAATGTTAGATTATTGTAAATATTATACACATTATTGTAAGTATTGTATTACAAATTCTACAGTAATCTTACAATTATTTTAAATTAAAAAATAGTGATGGGATTATTTTTAAAAAAAATCTAACCCTAAAAAACCTAGGAAAGAAAATAACGACTACTAGTATCAGTATCAATGTTGTATGTGTACTTTTTCACAGACGCCAAAAAGGAAACATTTTCCGATATCCGACTCTCTGAGAGAAACCGTATCGATTGGCAAGTCATCGATTAGCAATTTTGGCGAACTATTTTTGAAATCTAGCTTCTCACAGTTAACTGTGTCGTCCTTAACTTTTTTTCCTTCCGTTAACTTTCTTTTAACTCTCTTTCTCCTTCGATTTAATTATTACCTAAGTACAAAAGATTGTTGTATTTATTTATTCTCTGATCATATTTTCTTTAAAAAAAATCAATAAATAAATAAAAAATAACGGAAGAAATTTTATTATTTTATCTAACGGAATAACGATGGTATGAGTTAGAGCATGTAGGAGATTTTATATTTTTTAAACAAATAACTCGTTTATTTATAATTTTTTTTCTTCATTTCAACAATTTGTCATCAGGAGATAAAATTATTTTACGAATCATACGAACTAGATAGCAATCTACACTGCAGAAAATTCCTGTTCAAATTACGGTATAAACTACCAGTACTTTTGGTGCAGTTTTTCAAGTGTTCTTAAATTTTTACAAGAATTAATTAAACTATACTGTTAGAAATTTCACGGAAAAAATTATTAAACAACAAATTCTAAAATTGTTATTTTATCTGAAAAATAAGCCAAAAATAAGATGGTTTTCAAATCGTTAACTTTCTAAACTATCATAACCAAGTAACACGGCTAAACTACCATAATTTTTGCATCAGCTAGGCTCACCTAATGAAGCCAATTAGTTCCTGCAGCCGTGAGAGCTAATCTGTCATTCTCATGCCTGTCAAAACAGAGGTTTGACCACAATATATTGACACCACAATATTTTCTCCATTCCTGTCATTAGATGAAGAGTTTCCAGTGTCCCACGCGCTCCCCAATTGGTGACTATAGACTATTTGAATACGATTCTCGCATTCAAGCGTAGATGTCAGCACCATAAAGCTGTTTAACTCAAAAAAGACTAGTATTTCCCTTCTCTTACGATAGGTGAATCCCATGATCGACCTCACTCTCAATCTCATGATTGACACAACGGGGATTCGAGTCCCAGCAACAATATTTCATTCACTCCCTTCAACACATGACGAGCTTCTAGTGTCCTGCACTCCCCTCTTTGTGACCCTCGGTTGATAGAATATGATATTCTCATTCACTCATAGTTGGTAGCATTATAAAGCTACTATACTACCTCCGATGTCTAGTTAAATTTCTTGTTTACGGTTTTGAAACCATGCTGCAAAGTCTTGGATTTCTATTCTCTTAACGATACGAGAAACAACCAGATAACTAATTAAATCACATTCCACGGTTCATTTGATAAAACACTATTCAACCTCAACCGAACTCTAATGCCCATTATCTAACGAAAAGCCTAGCTCCAATCTCAAGTTAAATTATTATTTTTTTTTACGGTTTTGAAACCATGCTAGTTGTAAATGGTTAAAAAACCGTATAGTTTCGTATTCATGATTTTCTAACCATACTAGTTGTAAACGGTTTCAAAATCATAAAGGTAAAGAAAATGCTCTTTACCGTAATTTAAGAATGGAAATTCTAACAGTGTGGTTATTTTCTCCCACAGTCATATTTTCATTACAAACCATAGACAAACGTATGATTTTGTAACCGATCTCTTTTGTAACCGAACCTAAATATAGAATTAAAACTGTTCAAAAATCATATAATACCTACAACCTTAAAGTAATAATTTGTTTGAGTAGGGACAACATACTATCTTCCAAAAATTTATAACTATAGTTTCTCATAATTTGAAAAGAAAATCCGGCATTGATCGGTCCTGCTGTTTGGATATTGAAGTCCGGTCATTGGGTGTATAACAATCATCAGTTACCCTGCTTGTGGGAAAGGAAACATGAGAACTATTTCATGTTTTTTTTTCTCCCTTTAGTCTTCCTAGACTATTTTTTCAGTGTTTTCATCATATGTTGTTTACCTTTGCAACCAGGTATTGTTAAGATAACAATCTACTCTCTGTTTTGTTTTCTTTGCTCCAGAGCGTCTATGTTAAAAGGAAGTTTCTCTCACCATCGATAGTTTGCACTTATTTTAACAACAAACATTTGCACTCTCTTAAAAGTCTTAAGCTTTTAATACAATAATTCTGCGAAAATGCATTGTTTTAATCTGAAGTTTCTCTCACCATCATAGTTTGTACTTATTTTAACAACAAAAAATTTTCACTCTTTTTTTTTTGCACTTTCTTTTTCAACAAAATTTAGCTTTTAATACAATAATTCTGGGAAAATACATTGTTTTAATCTGAAGTCTCACTCGCCATCGATAGTTTGCACTTATTTTAACAACAAACACTTGCACTCTCTTAAAAGTCTTAGCTTTTAATACAATAATTCTGCGAAAATGAATTGTTTTAATCTGAAGTTTCTCTCACCATCATAGTTTGCACTTATTTTAACAACAAAAAATTTTCACTCTTTTTTTTTTTGCACTTTCTTTTTCAACAAAATTTAGCTTTTAATACAATAATTCTGGGAAAATACATTGTTTTAATCTGAAGTCTCACTCGCCATCGATAGTTTGCACTTATTTTAACAACAAAATTTTGCACTCTCTTAAAAGTCTTAGCTTTTAATACAATAATTCTGCGAAAATACATTGTTTTAATCTGAAAGGAAATTAAATAGCAACTATCTAGTTTTTTTTGCGTATTTTTTTCATCTTATTATTTTTCTTTTTAATTTAAGATTTGGGACTAGGAATTTTATTTCATATCATTACCGGCGTTGAATTGCAGAACCAGCTATCAATATTCAACTTTGTAGGGATCAGTAAGATATCCTCTGTGGTAGATAGATAATCCTCTTGCGATCGGGCTAATCAATGAAATGTTTCATGGTTTACCTCTCCATGTAGCTCAAATCCTAGTTAGTTAATTCAAAAAGTCCTCCACGAAGGCTAGTCTGTCCCAGTGTTTGATGCAGGAGTTCCTTTGTCTTTGGTTGGGTTCAAAATTACAAGGTTGCGAAGTAAAACATTGAGAATCGTGAACTCAGAATTGGGTTCAAAATTACAAGGTTACGGAGTAAAACATTGGGAGTCGTGAATTCAGATTTGGGTTCGCTATTCTATACCAGTTATAAAATGAATTGGAACTCCTGGATGAGGCATTGGATCAAAGCATTTGTATAGGACTCTTTGACAAAACTAACCACTGTTTGCTTTATATGACGAAAAAAAACCACAAAAACTTTTGGCGGTCAGCTCAACGACATTTTAAGTCAGCACTTAGTTAGTACAAGTTAGTGGAAGCTAAACACAAATGGGCGAGCCATCGCTATGATTCGAACCTAGGTCATATCATTGGTAAGCGAGCGTTCAATCTATTGAGCCATCACGGCTCTTAGATTAGGAATGGTAAAATTCGTTGTTCGCTGAAACTAAAAAATCTTATAATTTCAAATCTACCTAATTATTTAGAAATAATATTCCAAATTTCAGTTGTTATTGTGTTTAACTTCCTTTCGAAATAAATATTTCTTTCTAAGCATCAAATATTAACCTTACTGTCGACCTTACCGTGTTAGATTTTATTTCCCATCCAACGCTAATTAGGGATAATTCCAATCAAAAATATTTCAGCGAAATTAGTAGAAGTTTGTCCCACTGCTTGATTCAGAGGATCCCTTGTCTGCTCGGTTGTTTTTAAAGTAACAAAGGTACGGAATTGGACATATCCACAGAACCATCATGCTTTGGCTGTTCAACTTCGGTAATAAATAAAGTACTTCAAATTCTAATTTATTTGAAATTATCATTAATTGTAAGGACTATTATGACTTAAAATTTTATTTCATGTATATTTTTACAACGAAACAAATATAAGCCACTAAGTCTTTTACATTTATAGCAATTTAATTAAATCCTTCATGATATAATCATTTAAAAAAGTTTTTTCGTTTTTAAGATATTTGCATTAAGACCGGGGGTTATTTGTTTCTGTATTAAAACGATTTGCATTTTAAAAAATCGCTAATTACTTTTTAAACTATGTGTAAATACGTTCAGTGATTTCAAATTTGTTCATAAAATCTTGTAGCAAAGTAACTTCCGATTATTATATGCTCTCTTAAATTTGAACGCAAATGTTTAGCTGTATATTAAAAGGGTTTTGTAGACATTTATTTATCATTACAGATTTGATCGTATGGTAATAAATATAACTCACCCTAACATTTCTTGAAGAGTTGGATTAAATTATACGATTCTGATTTACCAATATTGTTAATCAACTTTAACTTGACTTGTCCGTTCTACAAAAGCTATATCTAAAACATTATGTCAACATTTTATTTTAAAGTTAGTTGTTAGTTTTCAAAATAATCTTCAAAAAAGAAAAAGAAAAAAAAGAGACTTAGATTTTTTTCTCTCCAAGTATTTTCCGTATTTCCAAGCATTTCAACTCAAGATGACGTAGTTATTTTACTATTTTAAGTCTTAGAACTTAAGATGACTTATTTATTTTGCACGAGTTTGTTACAAATTAAAAACAAAAAAAATTGCATTAATTATAAATAATTTGAATCTAATTTCATCTTGGTATATAATTAATTATAACTGCCACATTAAAAATAGTATTCTTCAGATACAGGTTTTAATTTTACAAATAACTATACTTTTTGCAATCATTTGTAAATGTTGACTTTCCTTCAAATATATTGCTGATGTACAAGTGACTAATTTTTTGCTACTAAGTATCGTAAGAATTTCTTTGAGATGGGAGTTTCAAATCTTATATCAGTAATTTTTTCTTTCCTTTCTAGATCGACCCCAAAGTTGCCTTTCCAAAACGGGCACACCCAAAGGTAAGCGTACTGTTATGTTTTTTTTCTTCTATTTAACTTATTCTATGCATTGTTACTTATTAACTTATTCTCTTACTTTGACATTATTACAATTTGCTCAGTGACATGATTTCAATGATTTGCTGTAACAATTTAATAATCTAAGCTTATCTATTTTCATACTTACTTTAATAAATACAATCTGAATGTTAAAAAGTTTGATTTAATTTTTGAAAAGGTTTTAGTTATTAAAAAAAGCTTATTTAGTTATTTAAATTGTTTTGTTAAATTATGACACCGAAGTTAAAATCTATTCAAATTACTTAATTTGAATGTGCGTAGAACTTTAAGACTATTCCAATCTAAGTAAATAAATGATTTGTCTGACTTTTGAAAGGATAGTTATTTAAACAAAGGCAATAATTCTTTAAATTCATTTGCAAAATTATGATACACATGTTACAATTGATTAAAATTTCACAATTTAAAAGTGCACAGTTTCGTTCTATCCAATCTGAATAAAAAAATTTTACTTTTGAGAGGTTTATAGTTGTTTTAATAAAGCCCAAATTCACTTCACTTTATTTACCAGAAGAATAATTTTATTTGTTAGATATTAAATTTGTGAATGGTGTTGAAACTTTAAAAATTATTTATTAATGGTAGTGTGTAAGTGGGTTATGATTTGGAATCCAAATCTTCAAATCAACCTCATTTTTCATATTTTTTTCTTCGATTGACATTGTTTATTCAAAATAACATATAACATATCTATAAACTATTTATGTTATTAAATGCTGTTCTTCAAAGCTTTTTTGCATAGAGAAATAAAAAAAGTCTTTGCTTAAGTATATTAGACTGGAAGCAAGGGTTTAATTCTAAATTATATTGATTTTCTTGCTGAAAACAAGTTGTATATGTTTAAAAATGGACTTACAGCTTAATACTAAAAAGAACGTTTTTTTTTTTTAAAAAAATGGATAGGTAATTCCACATAAAAAATTCATTTAAATTAAAGAATATTTTTTAATGTTTACTTACGTTTATAAGCTCATATTATGCAGTTTTGGTTTAACTTTCATAATAATAAAAATTATTTCACAAACGTTTCTTAAAAAAAATAATAAAAATAAAAAACTATGGCCAATATCAATGTAGCGTAGAAATGTGTGTAAAAATATTAATGTAGCGTGTGAATGTTGCTCGCCTTCCTGGAGTCACGTATTGCTGAATGATTCAATATACAAAAGTCTATGAATAATAAAAAAACATATTTAATGATAATTAAATTTAATAATGTCAACAATACAAACTAATAATATTGATGGCTTAGTATTTGGCAAGCCTCACTATAATCCTTCATTCCAATCTGTTGAATGACACCCATGTGATACGCACTCATAGTTATTGTTCATGAATACAGCGCCCTGTGTTTGTCAGGTAGAAATTCGTAACATCACGTTTTGAGGTGCCCATCGGCTAACAACAAATTCATAAACAAATACAGCGCCGTCTGTTGGTCAGGCATGACATCATGTACTTAGGTGCTCATCAACGAACGAGCTCATAAACGAATGCAGCGCCGTCTCTTGGTCAGGCAGAAATTCGTAACGTCATGTTTTGAGGTGCTCATCCGCTAACGTTAACTCATAAACCAATACAGCGCCGTCTATTGATCAGCAGAAAATCATAACATCATGTTCTCAGGCGCTCATCGGCTAACGTTAACTCATAAACGCTTTCAGCAATGTCAGTGGTGAAGAACGTATTAATTAAATGCCAGGCATTAAGAAAAAGGAAGAGGGGTGATAATTAATATCGTAAAAAATGTATTTTAAAAAAAATAACGATTCCAAATATAATCCGAAAAATTAATAGTTACAAATTAAAATTTTTGCTAAAATGAAACATTTGTGACAAAAGGGAATATAGGCTACATTTCTTGTATCTATACATATTTAAATATGTTTTTGCAAAAATTCAATTTCTTATTTTGAATATTTAATTCCCACTTCTCATTATATTATTTTTTTTACTTATTTTTTCATCATTTTTCCTCTGCAATGGAACTTAGAAGCTTGTGACATAGAGATAAATTACAAGAAGCCTTTTTTTTATATATCTGAATTATTTATGGATTTCTTGTGTCCGTCGCTATGGAAATATTGACCCTTTGTACAGCAAATTTTCTTTCGAAGGGAAAAGACAGCTTCATCATTATGTCGTCTTTTTTCCCCTTCTTTTTATTCCTTAAAAACGATATTATTAACAATCTAACAGTTTCAAAAATAACAAGTAGCGCAATCAATGAGTGCAAATAAGCTCATTTACTCTTTTTTCAAATTCATGAATAATTTGTGTTTGAATCAAAAGTATTATGTAAATATTTCTTGGCGATATCTTTAGCATTAAAATGTCATCATCTCTGAAGGTGGTTTAGTAAAATGTGTAATTATGATATATTTATTTTTAAAAAAATATTTATATGCCCAAAAATGTACAATTTTTCCAAAAATATCTGTATTATAGTACTGTTTTTTAAATAATAGTTTATTCTCAAATCTTAATCTTAATTATGTTTAAATCTCTTTTTTTCAATTAAAATGTCATCATCTCTGAAGGCGATTTAGTAAAATGTGTAATTATGATATATTTATTTAAAAAAATATTTATCTGCCCAAAAATGTACAATTTTTCCAAAAATATCTGTATTATATTACTGTTTTTTAAATAATAGTTTATTCTCAAATCTTAATATTAATTATTATATTTAAATCTTTTTTTTTAATTTAAGAAAAATAGTTAATTATTGAGGTAATTAGAAATAAGTTTCACCTCACTCCACGAATTTCAAAAACGTAACAATTAATAGCGAAAGCTTGTAAAAAAAAATCAAAAGTGTTTTTATGAACTTAGTTAAACTTAGAAATATCAGTTTGTCTCTAATAGTAAAAAAAATATTAATTTAAATTCCTAAACAAAAGTGTCTTAAAATTATTGATATAAAATTGGAGTGGCCGATTTCTCCGAAACAGAGCTACTATCTGAAGAAAAAATATAGACGCCACTTTCCAACATAAAAAATTAGGAAAAAAAAAAGTGGAAATTTTTTTAATTTATAGGCTGTTAAAGATATTCTTTGGTGGTTTTGAAGGTTCTGACATAAAATAATGAAATAAATTTCAGTCATGAAATAATTCTTTTTAGAGAAGATTATGTTGCTTTTAATTTGTGACAGATAATACGAAGGAACAATTTTTTGTTGTATTTATACGAATTATTGATCTTGCCTAATTTGTATGTGAGGATATCAAATTTGAAATAAGTTTTGTTCCTAAAGCTACAGATCACTTTAAAATCACATTTTTAATCCTTTTTTAGTCGAAATATATAAGTTTAAAAACCTTAAACAGGTAGTCGCATAAATACTGCGTTAAATTTCTGGGAGAGTTAGTAAGGCAAATCTAATTGCATAGGAACCCTTGTATGGAACTGTCATTGTAAGCGGCTAGGGGTGCTTTCCTTTTATGACGTGTTCAAAAACTTACTAAGAAGCATTTCATAATAGGAAACACTTTCCAGCGGCGTATGTCGCAATTTCCCAGCGCGTTTCTATGTAATTTTAATTCCGTTTATCGCGACATTTACACAATACCCTATTTTATAAAACTTTTTTAAACTTGTTGTACATCGATAAAAAAAATTATATATACTTAAAATATAGTTTTAAAAAAACTGCAGCTTGGAGAGAATATTTGATTACAGATTTGAAATCTGTGATAAGAGAATCATTAATGAGAATCAATCATGAGAATTAAATCAATAATGACAATCATTAATGTGATAAGAGAATCACCATCTGTTAAAAAATATTATGCATCGGAAAAAAAATTTGTTCCCACTATTATTCTCTACGATAAGATGATATATGTATTTAAAAACTATTGTTTAGCCTCGAGTTCAAAGTTTATGAACTTTGGTTTTTTTTAAAAATATTTTTCTTGGCGGAAGAGTTTCGAAAAACATCCTTAAGTGGTAAAAACAATCAAAATTAATTTTTTTTAATTTATAACAAGTTTCTAATTTTTAAGGAAAACTCGGTTTGCTTTAAATAAGTAATAAATCTATTTTCAATCCCCATAGCTTTGTTTGAACGCTAATTTGCAAACACTTAAACTGTTTTAAATATTTAATTAACACTTAAGTACCTTTGAATATTCCAGTCTTTAATTGTATGCCGGCTTTCATTACAGCAACGCATTTATTTTGTAGCGTTACATTCCTAAGTTTGTTTGCTCGTAGTTAAGCAATTTAATTAATTTAAAGTTTATTTATCAAATTTTATGAAATTCCTTTTAATGGTGAATACAAGTTGTTAATGAAAGTTTATTTACAGAAGAGTTAATATATTTTCGAAAAACATACATGAAGAAAAACATTTTAAGTTACACATTGAAGAAAATTTTTTGGTTTCAACTTTTTAAGTAACAAGTAATTTTTGTATTTTATTTCAAGTTCATGTATAAAAAAGTGTAGAAGCTTATTTGAAGTATAGAAGAAGCTTATTGAAAGATTTTTACTGCACGGAGGAAAAAATTCTGGTAAAATTTCCTTAATGTATGGTAATGACATTTCTGGTTAAAAAAAAAAGTAACGTAATTCCGGTCAATGAAACTAAAATATACGTTTTTTAAAGAATTCATTTGTAATTTTTCTATTCATATGGTGAATGGTTTACCCAAAGTTCAAGTTTTTAAAATTATAGTTCTTCTTATAACTCATTTATATATAAAAAAAAGAAAAAAAACTGAATAAAAAAAATTTAAAACTGGTTTAATAATATATGCTCTAAAGTATCATGATAAAATTACCAAATGTTACCACATTTACCAAATTTTATTACTTATAAAATCATATTTTATTGTTAATTTTACCTAAATCATTACCATAACGCTTTAGTAAAAATTTCCCTGCTTTTTGGTGTTTCCTCAGAGCCAAAAACACTGCAATTTTTACCATGT